TTAAAATGGCACAAATCTCCAGAAACTTACCCCAATGAGTGAGCTATGTGATTTACCTGGAACAGAATTCAAATAACCACCATGAAGATGCTCTTTGAGGTCAGGTGAACAATTCATGAACAAAATGATGATTTTAACAAAGAGACAGAAAATACCAAAAAGTATCAAACAGAAGATATGTTGCTGAGAACATAATAAATGAACTGAAAAATTCAGTGACACATAAAATTGTGCAGAAGAAAGGATCATCAAAGTTAAAAACAGGCTGCTGGAAATTATTCAGTTAGGGGAGGAAAAGGAAAAAAGAATTAGAAAGAATGATGAAGGTGTAAGGGACTAAGGGACACCACCAGGTGGACCAATGTACACATTATTGGAGAGGGGAGAAAAAAGGGTGGAAAGTTGGTTGGCACCGCAGTTCACTTGGCTAATCCTCCACCTGCGGCACCAGCACCCCAGGTTATAGTCCCGGTTGGGGCGCCAGATTCTGTCCTGGTTGCTCCTCTTCCAGTTCAGCTCTCTGCTGTGGCCCAGGAAGGCAGTGGAGGATGGCCCAGGTGCTTGGGCCCTGTACCCCATGGGAGACCAGGAGGAAGCACCTGGCTCCTGGTTTCAGATTGGCGCAGCGTGCCGGCCATAGCGGCCATTTGGGGGTTGAACCAATGGAAGGAAGACCTTTCTCTCTGTCTCTCTCACTGTCAAACTCTGCTTGTCAAAAAATAAAAAATAAAAAAGGGTGGAAAGTTCATTCAAATAGTAGTGAGAACTCCCTAAATCTGAAGAAGGAATCAGACATCCAGACAGGATGTCCACTGAACCCCAAAGAAGTTTACATTGATCAATACTGCAATTAAACTGTAAAAAGTCAAAGACAAATAATTTTGAAAGCAGAAAACATGACTTAGCACATGCAAAGGAACATACATAAGACAACCAGCACACTTCTAAGCAGAAACCTTGCAGACCAGAGCAGAGTAGGATAATACATTCAAAATGCTGAAGGAAAAACTCTGCTAACCAAGAATACTATACCCAGCACAACAGTCCTTCAAAAGTAAAGGTGGAAATAAAGACTTTCCCAGACAAAAAGCTGAGAGAGTTCATCACCACAAGCTCTGCCTCAGAAGAAATGCTAAGAGGAGTTCTTCAAGTCGGAACGAAAGGATGCTAAGTAGCGCTGTAAAGGCATATGAAACTATAAAACTTGCTGGTGAAGGTAGAAATATCGACAAATACAGAATAATGTAATATTGTAATGATGGTAGATGATCACTTCCAATTCCAACATGAAAGCTAAGACAAAAATATTAAAAATAACAATACTGATGGGCTATGTTAATAGATTTATAAGATAAAAATGTCAGTTGTGATATCAGTTATATAAAGTGTGTGTATAAGAAGTAAAAGTGTGGTTTTTGGGTAAAGCTGAATTTAAGTTGTCAGCTTAAGACAGACTGCTGTGGCTGTAAGCTGTTTTGTTTAAGTCCCATGGTAACCAAAAAGGAAATAGCTATAGAAGAGAGACAAAAGAAAGAGAAAGGGATCAAAGCATATAAACATAAACAATAAATGAAACATGAGAGAGTAAGAATGGAAAGGAGGGACAGAAGAACTACAAGACAGACAAAACATGAACAAAATTGCAATATTAAGTCCTTCCCTATCAGTAATTGCTCTAAATATAAATGAATAAATCAAGAGACATGGAATAGTCAAATGGGTTAAGAAAACAAGATCTGTCTACATGGCATCTACAAGAGACTGGATTCAGATCTGAAGATACACAGTGAAGGGATGGAATCACACTCTACCCAATACATAGGCATCATTATTATCTGCCAATTAAAAATTATGAAAAGAGAGAGTAGAATGGCTACACTTAGGTCATTCAACAATGTAGACTTTAAGTCAAAAACCGTCACAAAGAGACAAAAGTTCACCAGGAAGATAAAGCAGTCATGGATATATATGCAGCCAACATCAGAGCACCTACATATAAAGCAACAATTTATAGAAGTAGATGGAGAAATAGATAACAACACAATAACAATAGGAGATTTTGATATGCCACCTCCATAAAGGATGAAACATTCAGAGAGAAAAAAACCAGTAAGGAAATAATGGGCTTGAACAACACACAGAACAAATGGAACGAGCAGACCCATCCACAGAGCATGCCACCAGCAGGAGCAGAATTCACACTCTTTTCCAGGGTACACCGAACAGTATCCAGGCTCCATCAATATTAGGTCACACATTTGAGAAGATTGAAACCACATCACATCTTTTGCTACTGCTGTGAAATGAAACTAGAAATGAATAACAGCAGAAGAAAAGCCCAAACATGCACAAATAGGTAAAAATTAAACAGCATACTCTTGAATAACCAAAGGGTCAGAGAAGGAATCCAAATAGAAATTAAAAAATATATTGGTGCATGAAGAAAACACAATATATCAAAACTTGTGACAGGCAGCAAGAACAGTACTAAGAGGAAAGTTACAGCGATAAATGGCTGCTTTAATAAAGAAGGAACATCTTGGCCGGCGTCGTGGCTCACTAGGCTAATCCTCCGCCTTGCGGCGCCAGCACACCCGGTTCTAGTCCCGGTTGGGGTGCCAGATTCTGTCCCGGTTGTCCCTCTTCCAGGCTAGCTCTCTGCTGTGGCCAGGGAGTGCAGTGGAGGATGGCCCAAGTGCTTGGGCCCTGCACCCCATGGGAGACCAGGAGAAGTACCTGGCTCCTGCCATCGGATCAGCACGGTGCACCGGTCACAGTGTGCCAGTTGCAGCGCGCTGGCCGCGGCGGCCATTGGAGGGTGAACCAACGGCAAAGGAAGACCTTTCTCTCTGTCTCTCTCTCTCATTGTCCACTCTGCCTGTCAAAGATTAAATAAAAAAAAAAAAAATAAAAGCCTGATGGAAGTCCTTAAACAACCTAATTTTATGCCAGTAAGGAAATAATAAAGGTTAAAGTGGCAATAAATAAAAATAGTAGAAAAAAACAATATAAAAACCAATGAAACTAGATTTTTTTTTTTGGACAGGCAGAGTGGACAGTGAAAGAGAGAGAGACAGAGAGAAAGGTCTTCCTTTGCCATTGGTTCACCCTCCAATGGCCACTGCAGCCGGCGCGCTGTGGCTGGCGCACTGCGCCAATCTGAAGCCAGGAGCCAGGTGCTTTTCCTGGTCTCCCATGGGGTGCAGGGCCCAAGCACTTGGGCCATCCTCCACTGCACTCCCTGGCCACAGCAGAGAGCTGGCCTGGAAGAGGGGCAACCTGGACAGAATCAAGTGCCCCGACCGGGACTAGAACCCAGTGTGCCAGCGCCGCAAGGCGGAGGATTAGCCTATTGAGCCACGGCGCTGGCTGGTTTTTTTTTTTTTTTTTTTTTTTTTTAAGATCTTATTTATTTGAGAGATAGAGTTACAGACAGAGAGAGGGGGAGACAGAGAGAGAGGTCTTTCATCCACTGGTTTACTCCCCAAATTGCTGCAACGGCCAGAGCTGTGTCAATCTGAAGCCAGGAGCCAGGAGCTTCCTCAGGGTCTCCCACGTGGGTGCAGGGGCCCAAGCATTTGGGCTATCTTCCACTGCTTTCCCAGGCTATAGCAGAACTGGGTGGGAAGTAGAGCAGTCAGGACTTGAACCGTGGCCATAAGGGATGCCGGCACTGCAGGTGACAGCTTTGCCTGCTATGCCACAGCGCCGGCACCAAGATTTGGTATTTTAAAATGATAAACAACAGCAACCTTTAGCAGGACCAGCGAGAAGAAGGACCCAGATACACACAGTCAGAGGTGTGCTTGTCTGGCCTTCTCACGCTGCCCTTGAAATCTGGACGCATCCGTCAATGGCTTGTGCTGTGTCCCACAAATAACCTTCTGGGATTTCATTGAGCTATGACTTTGTTTCTAGGAAAAGCAGAACGACAGGGGGAAAGAATGTGAGGCGTGGAGGGCTGCTCTGTTAAGATTCACTACTGGGGATCGGGAGACTCCACAGGGCCTGGAAGGCAGTGGGTAACATGACCCCAGAGGTGCTGGAGAGGCGTGCACCTGCCAGACAGTATTCGCTTTCAGGGCAGCAGAGTCCAGCTACACCCTTGCAGGACGGTGACTTGTCCCAGGAGCGTCTCCAGCTGCTGTGCTCCATACCTCCAGGGGCGCTAATACCCTTAGAGCGTCAAGTCTGGGAAAAGGGACAGAGAAGTTTCTCTCTTTCATGTATTCACAGAAACTGTGGCTGCAGTGCAGGTTGGTAAAGATGTTCTGTTACGGGCTGGATGTTCTGTTACAGTTTCTGTTGCAATGACTTTGCCAATGGACAGCTTGAGCAGCCACAGGCACCACCTAGGTGAACAGCACGGCTGTGTTCTATTAGATGTCACACACACACACACACACACACACTGCAGTTGTTGGCCTGTGGACCTTACATTGTGGATCCCCCTTCCATGTTCTCCTCCCACCCAGCCAGCCAGTTTCCATGTTACGTTTTCCCTACCCAGCCACCGACACCTAACTGCTTCAATCCCTGCATATAGAGGAGAATTCACTAAGCCTCGGCCAACACTAAGGCTTGGGTCCTTACAATGAACACAAGGCGAGAGTCTGCGGTAGAGACCTGGTGACCTGAATGCTGAGCGGAGGGCAGCTCTGGGAGGAGGGGGCCCCTGGAGGAGTGCTCCCCTGAAGCTCTCTTTCAGGAAATGTAGTGGCGGCACCGCATGGGGCGGGAGTCTCAGGCTCCCAAACGACTCCACCCCACGTCGCCGGCTGTCCTCCCCTCTGAGTAATGGGGACAGGCTTTTGGGCAGCGATTATTCGGCCTCCTTTGAAGCCATCTGATGAAACTCTGATTTCATCAACCACTGAGCAGCCAGGAGGAGCCTGGTGTGACACAAGCTAAATGGAATAATTTTATGGGAGCATTATTTTGGAAACAACTAACTAGCATATTTTGGAGAAAAATTAGCTGAAGCATTAGAAAAGGAAGTTATGCTATGTGCCAGTTCCCCACCCACATTTAAGGGTATAAAAGGATCATGGAGGCAGGAGAGACTCAGACCTCACCCACATCCACCTCCAGCAGCTCACCTGCTCACCCGTCACCTCTCCCAGCGCCATGCCGTACAACTGCTGCCTGTCCAACCTGAGCTGCCGCTCCAGCTGCTCCTCCCGGCCCTGCGTGCCCCCCAGCTGCCACGGCTGCACCCTGCCCGGGGCCTGCAACATCCCCGCCAACGTGGGCAACTGCAATTGGTTCTGCGAGGGCTCCTTCAACGGCAGCGAGAAGGAGACCATGCAGTTCCTGAACGACCGCCTGGCCAGCTACCTGGAGAAGGTGCGGCAGCTGGAGCGCGAGAACGCGGAGCTGGAGAGCCTCATCCAGGAGCGCTGCCAGCCGCAGGAGCCCCTGCTGTGCCCCAGCTACCAGTCCTACTTCCGCACCATCGAGGAGCTCCAGCAGAAGGTGAGCCGCGGGCGCCGGGGCACCCAGCAGCAGCTGGCTCTCCTGGAGCAGCAGAGCCTTTCCAGCGGAAGTGGACCTCACACTAGAACTTGTGTTTCAGATCCTCTGTGCCAAGTCTGAGAACGCCAGGCTGGTGGTGCAGATCGACAACGCCAAGCTGGCCTCTGATGACTTCAGGACCAAGTACGTGGATCCCTTTGGGTCACAGGACCCCCCAAGGCCCTCATGGCTCCTGGATGGGCCCAAGGGGAAAAATGCCATCTCTCACTGTTTATTCTTCCTCTTAGGACTGCTCATGTCAAATCAGGGTCCCCTGGGCCGTTCATTCTTCAGTTGACATAGATTGAGTATCTCTTACCCCGAATTCGTGGGGCCAGAAGTGTTCCAGATGTTTTTTATTTTTGGACTTTCTCATATTTGCACTTACATAAGAGATGTCCTGGGGATGGCACCCAAGTCTAAACATGAAACTCATTCAGGTTCCATACATGTACAACTTCTATACACAGCTTGAAGGTAAATTTTATGCAATATTTTTAGTGCACCTGTATTTTGACTGCAAACCATCCCATGAGGCTGGCTGTGGGATTTTCTACTTGTGGCTCATGTTGGTGCTCAGAAGGTTCCAGATTTTGGACTTTTGCATTGGGGTTGTTCAACCTATTTTGATCTTTATGGAAGGGCTTCTTAAACTCCATAATTCAGAATTGAAATTAGTTTTTTTTTTTGGGGGGAAGGGGGTAGGTTGATTTGGTGATGTATTAGTTGGCAAATTGTGAGCAGAGTGAAAGACTCCATCTGAGGAACCCCTCCTGGTGTTGGAGTGAGCCTGTGCATGCATAGCTGGAGAGAAACATGTGGAAGGGAAGAGGCAGGGAACTGTGTGAGCTCACAAAGATCCAGGCCAATCTTATTCAAACAAGACCTGGACGAGGAAGATGGGCATCTATCCTGGCTCATCCTTCCCCATCCTTTGTGCTGGAAGGTACCAGACGGAGCAGTCCCTGCGGCAGCTGGTGGAGGCCGACATCAACAGCCTGCGCAGGATCCTGGACGAGCTGACCCTGTGCAAGTCGGACCTGGAGGCCCAAGTGGAGTCCCTGAGGGAGGAGCTGCTGTCCCTCAAGAAGAACCACGAGGAGGTAGGAAGCAAAGCGAAAAAGAATGATGCTGCAGAGATGAGCCACTAGCACCGGGAATCGGGAGGCCGTTACTGTCAGGCTCTCTGGTCTGGGATCATCTCTGAAGAACTCAAAGTTAACGCAGCATGAGTTGGTATGCATCTCTACCAAGCAGCTGCGTGTTGGCTGGGGAGCTGTTGGCAATGGCCAGGAAGAACACCCACCAACTGAGCCCTGCTCTCTGCTGGTCACTGTTAGGGCCTGAATCTGGATGTGGAGATGGGGGAAAAGGGAGAATGAAGACGGGGCTTCTGTCTTCAAAGAGCTCATGGTCTCGTGTGGGGAGACAGTCACGCAGACACCGTGGTGGAACCCTAGACAGTGAAATGAGTACCGCGTGAGATGGGGGCAGAGCATTTCCGACCCAGTTGGCCTGGGAAGACACAGGGAGCTCTTCTCAGATGCGAGGGTGGGAGGGCCATGTTCGGGGCTCCAGTCCAGGGGCGAGGCTGAGCAAAGATGCAGAGGAGGACGCGCAGGGTGTGTTTGACTGGGGCTGGATGTGCAGCACCTACGGGGATGTGGGGGAAAGAAGATGAGAGATGGGACTTGCTCCAGACCTTGCACTTAGTCTTAGAGGAAGTGTGAATTTGTTTCTGTTTATTTGGAAAAGGGGTTGATGTGACCCCTGTTTGGCAGGTGTATGCATGTCTTTGGGAATGATTAGGCTTTTTAGTGCTTTTTGGGTAGGGTTGTGTTCATGTTTGTAGGCAGGAATTGCAGGTGCATTTCTGTGGGTTTATTCCCTCCCCCTGCTCCATCAGGAAGTCAACACCCTGCGCTGCCAGATTGGAGACCGCCTCAACGTGGAGGTGGATGCCGCCCCCACCGTGGACCTCAACCGTGTGCTGAATGAGACCAGGGCTCAGTACGAGGCCCTGGTGGAGACCAACCGCAGGGAAGTGGAGGAATGGTTCACCACGCAGGTGCGCACCCGGGACCCACCCCGAGCCCCACGTCCTGCAGGGCCCTTGAGGCAGGGTCTGACCCCGTCTTCTCCCCTTGGCTATTTCAGAGTGAGGAGCTGAACAAGCAGGTGGTGTCCAGCTCGGAGCAGCTGCAGACCCATCAGGCCGAGATCATCGAGCTGCGCCGCACGGTCAACGCCCTGGAGATCGAGCTGCAGGCCCAGCACAACCTGGTGGGTACCGCTCGCACCTGCTGGGGGCACCGCGAAGCCGGGGAGGCGGAGCTGCTGGGGTACCCCTGGGGCCACGCGGCCTCCTTGGCTGTGGAGGGAGAAGCCCTCGGAGAAACCCTGGAGAGCAGCAGCCATGTGACCGTTGCCTTTGTGTTCTGTCCCCCACAGAGGAACTCCCTGGAAAACACGCTGACGGAGAGCGAGGCGCGCTACAGCTCCCAGCTGTCCCAGGTGCAGTGCATGATCAGCAACGTGGAGTCGCAGCTGGGTGAGATCCGGGCGGACCTGGAGCGGCAGAACCAGGAGTACCAGGTGCTGCTGGACGTGCGGGCCCGGCTGGAGTGTGAGATCAACACGTACCGGAGCCTGCTGGAGAGCGAGGACTGCAAGTGAGTAGGGTAGTAGAGAATTCCTGGGAAAAATGCGTCTGGTGGGGTGCAGGACACAGTGGACCAATTTTCAGTTGCCAACAACACACATTAATCAGTGTCTGCTCTGTGGAGATGGGTGATAAGGAAATGAGGAATGGTGAAATAAAGGGAACATCCCCTGCCCGGAGGCTGCCCATGTCAGGTGGTGGTAGGGAGATGGCCAGGCACAATACCTTTGAGTAGGGCAGTTTGTGTTAAATTCCATGACAGCTCAAGAGCATGAGATACTATTTTCTAAAGGTTAATTTTCCACTTTTGCCCACAGCAATCTGGGAGAGGCAAGGGGAGAAGGATTTGGTAATAATTAAAATCTGATTCTCACCACTGGGAATTCAGAGAATGTCTAGTTAAGCACAAGGTATTGTGCGTGTCTTAGAGTTCTCTCCATGCCCTGCCCGATCCATTCTAAACCACTGTGTCCCCCAGGCTCCCCTGCAACCCGTGTGCCACCACCAACGTCAGTGGCAGCTCCTGCGGACCCTGCTGCAGCTCTCAGAAGCGCTGCTAATTGAAACCCTTGCATCCTCTTCGAAGACATCAGTGAAGCCTCCTAGCTCACGCACAGGGAATGTCCTTAGCTCCTGTCTTTGCGGAAGTGCAGTTGCCATCCAGAAACCTCACCGTGCCAGCCGCCATGTGGCTTCACACTGAACCACGCTCTACAGCCAACAAGCCACGGCCCTCGTCAGCTTCCCACACCGGGACAAAGCCTTCGTGTGGCGGCTTGAGCCTCACTGTTTCCGAGGGTGCTCAGCTCCCCGCACCGGGAGCTCCGAGGGTGACTTTTGGGCGTTTCCTGTACGTGCTGCGTTTCCTGCTCTCCTTTCTTCTTTGGTATTCTCTGGAATGTCAGGAGGCTACTTCATTTACTTCCCAATAAACTTTATTTCTGTGGCATAGTAACTGCATTTCTCATCCATATTCATGCCTTGTTAAGTACTCATCATGACTGTTTCGTAAAAAATACCCCTTCATTAAGACAATGAGGTGGCTTAGATGACCGAGCCGAGCCTCTGTGCTCCACAGGAAACACAGCTGGCGAGCCAGGGCCGTCCTGCTGGGACGCTCTCTCCAAGGGCAGAGCTCACAGGAAGCCAGGCCTCCGATGTCTGTGCCTATCCTGCCTTGGCTGCCAGGCCCTTGGCAATTCTGAGAATGCTCCTCAGACCTCACTGCTGGCCCCCACTGTCACCCTCATCAGACTAGAGGGGTCCACTGCCCTTCCTCCCGAAGACAGCTTCTGTAGAAATCACTCAGAGAGCAGCGATCCGGGCCGCTCACCTCACCGCACCTGCGTCACCTGTGCAGCTGCTGGCTCCTCCCTCAAAATGCATCTTCGCTGATTTCTGTGGCCTCACAGGCTCTGGGCCTCTTCCTATTCCTCTGATCACATCTTCTCAGTCTTCTCATTAGCTGTCTCCCCTCCCCTCTCCCAGATGGGGTAAGCACCTGGATCCTTAGCCCTCTGTTTTTCTGGATGAGGACCCCCAAGTCTTGCTCTCACCTCAGCTCAAGTGTAGGGGTCCGACTGTGGCCTAGTTTTGCTGGTGTTGAGCCATTGCATCTTGTTCAACTGGACAAAGACTTATCTTTGACAGATCGGTGCATCTTGCTACCTACTTGCTATCCAGAACCTGTGGCCCCCAAAAAGACTCTCAATGCAGTCAACTCTCTTCCCTCGCCTTTTTTATGTTCATTCTTTCCCTTAGATCCTCGCTCATAACTATAATGTTCTCCATAATCTTTTTAAAGATTTATTTATTGATTTGAAAGTCACAGTTACATACACACACACACACACACAGAGAGAGAAAGAGAGAGAGAGAGAGAAAGGTCTTCCATCTGCTGGTTTGCTCCCCAGATGGCCGCAACCGCTGGAGCTGTGCTGATCTGAAGCCAGGAGCTTCTTCCAGGTCTCCCACAAGGGTTCAGGGGCCCAAGGACTTGGGCCATTTTCTTCTGCTTTCCCAGGCCATAGCAGAGAGCGGGATTGGAAGTGGATCGGTGCCAATATGGGATGCCAGCACTGCAGGCGGTGGCTTTACCCGCTACGCCACAGTGCTGGCCCCTCCATAACTTTTTTTTTTTTGACAGGCAGAGTTAGACAGTGAGAGAAAGAGAGAGACAGAGAGAAAGGTCTTTCTTTTCTGTTGGTTCACCCCCCCAAATGGCCACTGTGGTCGGCGCACTGTGCTGATCCAAAGCCAGGAGCCAGGTGCTTCCTCCTGGTCTCCCACGCGGGTGCAGGGCCCAAGGACCTGGGCCATCCTCCACTGCCTTCCCGGGCCACAGCAGAGAGCTGGACTGGGAGAGGAGCAGCCGGGACAGAATCTGGCGCCCCAACCGGGATTAGAACCCGGGGTGCAGGCGCCACAGGTGGAGGATTAGCCAAGTGAGCCGCAGCGCTGGCCCTCCATAACTTTTTAATCATCGCATTTTTTATAATTCTAAGAAAGGTTAATGTTCATTAAATAACCCCCAACAAATATGAATCCTAAGGAACCCTCAACTTGCCACATCTCTGACTTTTCAAAGCAGTCAAGTCTATAGGCTACAATCTCAATTATCCATTCAACTTATCTCTGTCTGGTTGACACACTATAATCAATTATATATGAACATATATGCGTAGAATTAGTATGCACACCAGGTCTGATGGGGGTTCCTGAGAAACACAAGTGAGTGACCCCCAGTCCCAGCTTGCAGCACGTTTACGACCTGGAGGGGCTAAGACGCAGAGACAGACCTCGCAGACAAACATCAGTGTGGATCAAGGACTGGGAATCTCAGAGAGGGCGCTGGGAAGAGGCTCCAGAGGATGTAGCACTCAGGGCCGGTGCTGTGGCACAGTGGGTGAAGTCACCGCCTGCAACCCACAGCCCGTGTGGGCACCAGTTGGTGCCCCAGCTGCTCCACTTCCAATCCAGTCCCCTGCTAATGTGTCCGAGGAAGCAGTGGGAGATGGCCTGAGTACTTGGGTCCCTGCACCCGCGTGGGAGGCCCTGATAGAATTCCAGGCTCCTGGCTTTGGCCTGGCCTAACCCTGGTCATTGCGACCATTTGGGGAGTGAACCAATAGGTAGAAGACCTTTCTCTTTCTCTCTGTCTCTCCCTAACTCTCTCTTTTAAATAAACAAACAAATAAATAAATAAATAAATCTAACTTTTTTTAAAAGAAGGATGTAGCACTCAATCAAGGCATTGAAAACCAAAGTAATATGTCTGTGTACATTTTGTCTGCCTTTCTTGTGCTGCAGGCCCTGCAACAAGAGATACCATCACTCCATTAAAGACTCATGTGAAACATGACCTACCGTGAGTAAAATCAATAAGGAAGAGTAGCACTAATGAAGATTCATGAGAAGGTTATTAAAACTTTATATACCTTCCCTGGTTTCACCTTCAATCAACTGTTATTGGGTGATATAAGCATAATTCTGAAATCAAGTGTGAGAGGATCTGTTTGGACAGATGACTTCACAGATCTGAGAAGAGGGGAAGTTTTCTAAGCAAGAATTTGCCTGGTGAAAAGATGAGAACTCAGAAGGTATTATTGGAAACTGACCAACTAAATCCTAACCTGGGATGGAGGGTGACTGGGACAATGGAAGAAAAAACTGATGGTAGTGAAACCATATCTGAGAGTCCTTTGAGTGGTTCTCCATAGATTTGAAATATAATATCCATCAGATGGTATCTCGCAGCTCTGTCTGTACTGGGGCATGGTGGGCATTTGATGGAGTTGCATCAAACAGAAGGAAGATCCACAAGGAATCTGGTGAGGGATAACCAGGTCTGATGTGGGTGGAGGAGGATGGGGTAAAGAAGGGATGGGTTTTAGAGGTGTGGCTTAGGATATGGAAGCCGATTGGAGGTAGGGGACTGTGGAGAGAGAAGGAAGGAAACTAGTAGGGATTGAGCACTGTATCAGCCAGGGTTCTTCAGAGAGACGGAGCCAATAGGGAGATATGTAGCCAGGGATTTGCTATAAGGGACCGACTCACACGCGTATGGAGGCTTAGAAGTCCCACAACCTGCTATTGTCAACATGGCCTTGAAAAGCTCAGGGTTTGGTTGGAGCCCCAGCCTAGAGGACCAGGAGCATCCTTGTCAGAGGTCAGGGGAAGGCGGATGTTCCAGCTCAATGAGAGAGAGAGAGAGAGAGAGAGAGAGAGAGAGAGAGAGAGAGAAAGAGAGAGAGACTGCATTTTCCTTTCGTCTGCATCTTGTTCTGTTTCTGTGCTCAACAGATTGGACAACACCAGCTCACCTTGGTGAGGGAGGCTTTTCCACCAGTAGACTGATGCAACTGCCCATCTCTCTCTCTCTCTCTTTTTAAAGACTTATTTTATTTATTTGAAATACAGAGTTATAGAGAGAGGAAAAGACACACACACAGAGAGAGGTCTTCCATCTGCTGGTTCACTCCCCAGATGGCCACAACAGCTGGAGCTGCACCAATCCGAAGCAAGAAGCTAGGAGCTTCTTCTGGGTCTCCCACGTGGGTGCAGGGGCCCAAGCACTGGGGCCATCTTCTACTGTTTTCCTAGGTCATAGCAGAGAGCTGGATCGGCAGTGGAGCAACCGGGACTAGAACTGGCGCTTATATGGGATGCCGGTGCTTCAGGCCAGGGCTTAAACCGGCTGCGCCACAGCGCTGGCCCCATCTTGATCTCTTTAAAAACATCCACAGATATTTCCAGAAACAACACTTCACCAGCTGTTCATCAGCTGTCTGGGCATCCCTTAGCCCAGGCCACTTGGTCCATAAAATTAACCACCATACACAACTACTAGGGACCTGAAGTTTTTGAACTTGAGATAATGAAACAGCAGCAGGCCTCCAAAGGAAAGAGCTGGAAAAGAATGACTGGAGACCATTGATCAAACGATAGAGCTGACACGCGGCTCTCCTAAGTCCCTGACACAAGATTCAGCTCTGGTTTTTCCAGGTCTCCAAAGGTAGAGATGACGTCTGGCTGCTGTAGGTGGAAGTGAAATAGAAGTGGTGGAAGTGATACAGAGGTCAAGGGTTGCCAGAGTTTAAAAGTGAGAGTGGCGATGGAATACGAGAATCAGAAAACCTACTGGATAGAGAAATGGGGAGACCTCTAGTTAGTAAAAATGATGGCAGGATCTGTGGTTTGCTCAGTGAAGGAGCTGGCTTCTAGTGGTCCCTTCACAAGTGTCTCAAGTCACCGGCTTGACCGTGAGTTTAATGTGAAAGTTCTACACAACACATTCACACTAAGCATCAGTCTGCTTCTCTTTATCCTCTGTGTTCTGCTAAAAATGTTTTAGCATCTGACCTTGTCCTTGATCTTCAGAGAGTCTACATAAATAGCCTTCATTTCTTCTATAAAGGATCCCGGAACCCAGCTTCCCCAGGAAGACATTGTCCTGGATTGTTTGACACTCTTTGCCTCTCTTCTAGACCAGATGGAGTCAAACCACAGCCTGGATGAACTTGGCACTTTGGTGACACTGTTTGATACTTGAAGACCCCTAAACTCCATTCCCACTAGAAGTCCAGGACCAAGTGTAAGGGAAGCAAAGGTGGCTCTGGGGGGAGCCTCTGGACCTACAGCCTCTGAATCCCATTTGGAGGTGTTGGTCACTGTCTTGGCTCAGCCCATCTTACTACCGACCTGAGTGGTTTTCCATCATTTCTCCTGCTGGTCCCTCACCAGAAGTCCTGTTGAGTAGGTGTGTTTGCTGAGTTCCTGGATTACCTCCACTCTTTCTCCCCTTGATGTAGTGAGGCTAGGGGACCGATGAATTAGCAATGAATTAGCAATGCCTGTATCTTGTTCTTGTAGGCAACTCTTGACTGGCCCAGCAGCATGGCTGCTGTTGACATGGGACAAAGAGTGCTTTCAGTCCTCTACCTCCCCTTGAAGTCCCCCTTTGGCATAAAGCAATCTTTTTTGCTCTGTGTGTGCACCAGGATACCACTCCTGGATGGTTCTGGCCGTCTGGACACGTGAAAATACAGTTAATCTGTAAGTGGCCCAATTTGTTACTTTGCACTTCTAGGAGAACAGCTTTTGCATTTCCACTGTGAGCATTTCAAGCTGCAGGGCCTGGCCATCAGGGAAGATGGTTCTGAGAGGAGGGAGGTGTCTCCATGCCTTTAAGGTCAGGTCGCAGGGCGGGTGGCCTCAGCAGGAGGCTGGCCGGACTCCACGCCTTGGTTAAGAGCCACTGGGCACTGTGTGTAGCTTCTCCCTGGAATCAGCCTTGGCTTCGTAATAAATAGCACCCTTCAACCTCAACTGCAATTTGCTCACATCTTGGGACCAGAAGCCCAGCCATGGCGTCTGGCACAATTACTCGGGCAGGTGTAAAGCCTTCCTAGTTGTTAGGATTTGATTTGCTCATCATGCTTTTTGAAAGGTCATTGGCAGAGACAATATCATTACTAGTCAAAGGCAAGAATTCATCATACCCAACAATTGGAATAAATACCAAAAAGCTGCCTTCCTGAGTTCTTGGGAAGCTAATTGCAACTTGGCTCTTTTTTCAATAGATCCACGTCCCCCTTTGAATCATCCATGTTTGAGGACCGTGTAGCTATGCACCCGTCATGATTGCATGGACCCAAGAAGTGCTGAAGGTCACATTTTCTAAACTCTGCCCTCCACTTTCAAAGATACGAGGTCTCTTATTTCTGAATTCTTCCACTTTGGCTGAGGTAGACGGTAGTCTGACTCCATGGATTCTGATGAGTGCATTTGGTAGTCTGCAACAAGTTGTTCTTTTTCTATTCTTTAAAATTGCCATTTCTAGGGGCTGGCACTGTGGTGCAGTGGGTTAACGCCCTGGCCTGAAGCACTGGCATCCCATATGGGCTCTGGTTCAAGTCCTGGCTGCTCCACTTCCAATCCAGCTCTCTGCTTTGGCCTGGGAAAGCAGTAGAAGATGGCGCAAGTCCTTGGGCCCCTGCACCCACGTGGGAGACCCAGAAGAAGCTCCTGGCTCCTGGCTTCGGATCGGCGCAGCTCCGTCCTTTGCGGCCAATTGGGGAATGAACCAGTGGATGCAAGACCTCTCTTTCTCTCTGTCTCTACCTCTTTCTGTAACTCTGTCTTTCAAATAAATAAAAAAAATTTAAAAAATTTTTAAAAATGCCATTTCTAGTTTTTTTTTTCTTTTGAATCTTGGAGAAAATTAAATCAAAGGGGAGAAAGACAAGGGGTAGTGGAAAGCTAGTGGATCTGGTCTCATCCAATAGGACTTCAATCACCTTCACACTGGGTTTAAACTGACATACCCTTTGCACATCTCACTCATGGGAGGGGGGCGGATAATTTTAAGGGCAGGGAGTTGTGGCCTGTGAGTGTTGTGGAGGATATTGGTATCTTCAGGGTCACTTTCGAAGACCACCCATTCTTTCCCAAGAAGCCCTTTGCAAGAGCATATTTGAAACGTCTCCATGGAAACGTCTTTCTGATCATCCAGAAAAACACAGGTTATTATTTTACAGTCACAACTTGTTTCTGATCCATTAAAGATGTTACTCATCTCGGTTGTTTATCCTACTCACGGGGCTTGGTTTCAAATGACATTTAGTTGGTTCCAAAAATAAGTGCACCCTTGGAAGATGAAGATTTGCTTCCCATGAGGATAACCAGAAGAATGTATCTGGGGCTGCAAAGGCAAGTTTGAAGAGAGGCTGATCTGAGCCAGGACTGCAGGACAGGAATTAGCACATGGCTTCCCACAGGAGCTGCCTTGAGCGCACTCAGAACTATTATAAAACTACTATAAAGCCCTCAGAGTTCACAGCTCCACTTAGAATAGCACAAGAGAAGAACATCTGTTTGCCAAAATGTCCCGATGGCTATGAGATGCCGGCTATGCACAATGAGAGGGGGCGACTCTGCTCGTCCTTTAGAGAGCAAGGCTCGGGTGTTCCGACATCAGGCCAACCCAGAGTTTCCTGTGTCCAAGTCTCTAGTGGGAATCATGCCTTCTTGCTTAGGAAAACTCCGTGACAATACTTTTGGCTCCCTGATGGAGAAGGACAGGTGTGTTCATTCTTGGCTGATTCTAATGTAGGAGAGGATATTGTCCAGCACTGACCGAGCTGCACGGAGCTCAGGCCGTCTCTGCGCTGTTACATCACAGTAGTGAGAAGACTGGAAAAGAGGGGCGGTACCATGTGATGCAGAGAGCATGGCCACTGGACCCGAGAGAGCAGCGACCGAGTCTTGACTTCCTGTTGGCCGTCAGTGACCTTGAGCGACTTCCCAGAAGTACGATGTCCTTGTCTATAGACATTGGCTGAGGGTCAGGAGGACTGGAGGAGTTAAAGCAGATGGGCACAGCACAGTGCCTGGTGTGCAGTGCGTGCTTAGCAAGCAGGAGCCCTCACCAAAAGCAGAGTCATCCCTGCCTAAACATGTAGTTCCATGCTTCTTGCATAGCAGGTGCTCTGAAATTGTTGCTTCTCTTAATGTTCTTGTGAATACTGAATAATAGCAGAAAAGGAGCCAGGGAGACTTCCCACAGTAAGAGGGCAGAGTTGTCCCACACCTGCCAGGCTCAGTCATGAAGGAACATTGAACTGATGGCTGCAGTGGTCCTTTCTGAGCAGGGTTGCCAGCGTCCCTTGCCGCACAGTCTGGCATCCAGATGGCTTTTTCCACAGTGTCCTAGCTGAGTGTGCGCCGGGCTCCTGGTGCCCCCGGCTCCGGAGGTCAGCCCAGGGCTGTCACTCTAACCCAACGCTCTGGGCACAAACACTGCCGGTGGCAAAGCTGGTCACTTTGAAGCCAAATCATGATGCTGTAACTTAACCAGCCAGCCTGATTGTCAGGAGTCCTGACATAGCAAGAAGCCAGAGTAAAATGTTTTATGAGGCGAAGGACTCGTGTGAGGTGGCTAAACAACACGTGGAAAAAATTGGTGAAGAGGGTAAAAGGGACTAACGCGTTACCCAATCACCACACCCACTGGCAACAGAATATAAAGCCCTGGACAGGCACAGGGCTTATACCAGAGGCCAGGAATCAGGCTTTGAAACTGACCTGCAGAGCTCTACTCCCTCCCAGCGCCATGCCGTACAACTGCTGCCTGCCCAGCCTGAGCTGCCGCTCCAGCTGCTCCTCCCGGCCCTGCGTGCCCCCCAGCTGCCACGGCTGCACCCTGCCCGGGGCCTGCAACATCCCCGCCAACGTGGGCAACTGCAATTGGTTCTGCGAGGGCTCCTTCAACGGCAGCGAGAAGGAGACCATGCAGTTCCTGAACGACCGCCTGGCCAGCTACCTGGAGAAGGTGCGGCAGCTGGAGCGCGAGAACGCGGAGCTGGAGAGCCTCATCCAGGAGCGCTGCCAGCCGCAGGAGCCCCTGCTGTGCCCCAGCTACCAGTCCTACTTCCGCACCATCGAGGAGCTCCAGCAGAAGGTGAGCCGCGGGCGCCGTGTGCCATTTTAATGAACTATTAGCCCAAACTTAACCTGCCAGTGTCTGAGTGGATCTCAGGTTGTTTCACGTCGATGTTGGGGATGATAAAGACGAAGAATTCATTGCCTTGGCTAGGACGTCAAGAAGCTGTAGAGCATTGATTTAAGCTGAGTGTAGAGTAGGGCATTAGCCCAAAACAGTCACTGCCCCTGGATTCCTTGCTTCTGCTCAGACCCACTTGTCTTCTTTTCATAGCCTTGAATATAATAGACACCTGACTTATTTCTCTGAGATAGGAATTTCCTGAGTGAATTCTCAAATCCTTAAAGCCTTTCAAAGCTCCTGCAAAAGACAGTGTCTACAGCAAAGCAAGAGTCTCTGGCTCCATTAGCCTCACTCGTACACACAGTCACACAGAGCATCTACTAAGAGCAGGTGTGCACAGAAGGGACAGGCCGGGCCACATGCGGGATGGCCAGGGGTGCAGGTGGGGAAGTGGCTGGGAGGTGGGATTAATGCCTGGTGTTGGTTAGGGAGGGCTCCCCCAGAAGAGGCAATAGCTGAGTGGGGTTTGGAGGATGAGCAGGAGGTTTTGTCTAGTTGCACAGGCCCTGAGCGCTCAGAGGGAATTGGCTGTCTACTGTTCAGCAGTCCTGGCTAAGCAAAAGCCAGAAAGGGATGGCGCGATCAGAGCATCCTTCGCCGCTTACCCCCAGTTGGTGGACATCAGGCTCAGCGCTGGGTGGGGGATAAAGCACTGGGTGGGTTGGTCTCCTGGAGCTCCGAGTCCAACAGGGGAGACGGATGTGGCCCATACGAGTGCAGCAAAAGCCTTCAGGAGTGTTGACTGCGTACGGGCCGAGCTGGTGACGCAAGGGCTCTTACCAGGGGTGCAGCATCAAGGGCGTCCCAGGTGGAGGGGGAAGCTTCTCGCAACAGCATGCACAAGGGACAAGGGCACCATGAGGGGCGTGGGAGAGCTCAGCGGGGCTGGGATGAGGGTGGTGTGGGGGGGTACCCAACTTGTGCCAGTTCCCCTGGAGCTTTTCCGATTTTAGCATCCCAGGCACCCACTCAGTTCTTAGCAAACTGGGAAGGTTGGTCTCGCTTACCTAAGGCCTGGCTGCCCAGAAAGCTCAGTGCCTACAGGAAACTAGGGGCCGACCAAGGAGGGTAGAGCTCCTGGCCAAGGGCGCGTTTCCCCTCGGCTCCTCTGGTGTTGAAATGCTCAGCCCTGTGAAGGAGTCCTCCTTTTATCCCCAAGCTGACGATCTCAAAGCAACTCAGTGGTGTCGGGGAAGAGTGTGGCTGGGAGCCAGAGCACAGGCATTTCTTTCTGGAGTAACTCACTCCACGGCTAACCCCCTCTCCAGATCCTGTGCAGCAAGTCTCAGAACGCCAGGCTGGTGGTGCAGATCGACAACGCCAAGCTGGCGGCCGATGACTTCAGGACCAAGTAAGATTCTTTCCGTTCATTCTGGGAATGTGTGAGCAGAAGCTTCTGGATGATGGCAAGAGGATTCTTGCAGTGGGGCACTGTTAGGTTAAATGTCAAGTCTCCCCGCCAAGGGCTGTGCGTCTCTGCTTGGAGCAAGAAGGAGTGTCAGCAGCCACCCTTCTTCTTCCTTCTTCTTCTTCTTCTTTTTTTTTTTTTTGACAGGCAGAGTGGACAGTGAAAGAGAGAGAGACAGAGAGAAAGGTCTTCCTTTTGCCGTTGGTTCACCCTCCAATGGCCACCGCGGCTGGCGCACTGCGGACGGCGCACCGCGCTGATCCAAAGGCAGGGGCCAGGAGCCAGGTGCTTATCCTGGTCTCCCATGGGGTGCAGGGCCCAAGCACTTGGGCCATCCTCCACTGCACTCCCTGGCCACAGCAGAGAGCTGGCCTGGAAGGGGGGCAACCGGGACAGAATCTGGCGCCCCGACCGGGACTAGAACCCGGTGTGCTGGCGCTGCAAGGTGGAGGATTACCCTAGTGAGCCGTGGCGCCGGCCCTCTTCTTCCTTCTTGACTCAACATCTGGGCCAAGTTTCAAAGTGAAATTTCACACTGGGCTCTTAGGGTGTATCCTTCACTACCAGTCCATCGGGAAGAAGTTCTTGAATCACGGAGACGGGAGGTGAAGCCCGTTCCAGGGACTCAGTCGCTAGTGTTAGGCATGGCCGTGGCCATCACGGGGATGCTTTGCGTTCCATGGGACTTGTTTACAATGCCGAGTTTCCAACATCACTTCTTCATCTTCAGTCCGACCCTATGCTGCGTTCACTCTGACTTCATTTCCAGATGAGGCGTCTGAGTCTCTGAGATTCAGGAATTTATCTCCAGCCACAGCACGGCAAAGGCTGGGTGGGGCGGACTCTCGTTTCTCATTGCGATGCTCCTTAGCTGGTTACAGAGGTCAGTGGGGCAATTTACAGCAAAATTACGGAGCTCAGTGACTGGCTGGACCAGGCAAAGATGGCAGGGCTCGGCTGGCAGTGCCCTGAGTGGGCTTGCTAGAACAGGTGTAGCTTCTGCTAGACCACGCTCTGCACAGGAAGCCCGCTGTCACCTTCTCTGCTGGTCTCACCGAAGAAAGAGGTCTTTGAAAGAGCTTGTAAAAACTTCAACCTCTCTCGGGATAACAGGAATTTGGTTAGGTCAGCCTTCCTCTCTGACCTCCTTTGGCCTTGGGCTGTGTGTGCAGGTATGAGACGGAGCAGTCCCTGCGGCAGCTGGTGGAATCCGACATCAACAGCCTGCGCAGGGTCCTGGACGAGCTGACCCTGTGCAAGGCTGACCTGGAGGCGCAGGTGGAGTCCCTGAAGGAGGAGCTGCTGTCCCTCAAGCAGAACCACGAACAGGTGAGAGAGTTCCAGTCCCTGGCAGCCTGATTGCGAGAGTGCGTGACTTCCCAGAGCAGGGTGAGGGGCGGGGTCCGGACTTGCCAAGCACCCAAGAGGTAACAGAACACTTCGCTGGTTGATCAAGGATGCTTGGGGGATTGTCAAGGACCAAGTCACAGGTTGGCCTCTTTTACAGAAAGGAGCTTCGTTGGCTCACCGATTTCCACTTGGGGCTAGTTGGATGGCCAAGTGTCCACACCAAGGTCTTTAACATCCTTTCTAGTGTTTGATAAGATCTGTTATCTTCTGAAGGGCCAAGACTGGAAAGAGATAGAGAACATTCAGTTTGAGACACCAAGCAGGGCGAACAGGTGGTCGGACAGATGGATGGATGAGTGAATGGGTGGGAAAGCTGGGAGAGGGAACTCAAGTGGTGATCCATGCAGATCAATGCAATACTCAGAAGTCAGATGCGCGTCTCCACCGGCAGATGCGCGTCTCCACCATCAGATGCTTTCCTGGGGAGGAAGCATGTCTGAAGGCAGAGGACATGCAATGAATGGGAGGAGGTCAGAAACCAGCAAAGAGAGTGTAAAAAAGAAAGCAGAGAAGCCCGGAGGGGGAAGAAATATCTGCAATCCTTAATTTAGCGTCTGCATTATGCAGAGAGGAGGGCTGGTCACTGGAGGTCACTTCCCTGGGTTCTTCATCAACCAGGCCTCAGCTCATGCTTTCTAATTCCCACTGCGATCATCTCCCACCACATCAGACTCCCTCAGAGAGAGTTTATTTGTAAGCTTCTTACCTGGGTTTATTCCCTCCCTCTGCTCCATCAGGAAGTCAACACCCTGCGCTGCCAGATTGGAGACCGCCTCAACGTGGAGGTGGACGCCGCCCCCAATGTGGACCTCAACAGCGTGCTCAACGAGACCAGGTGTCAGTACGAGGCCCTGGTGGAGACCAACCGCAGGGAAGTGGAGGAATGGTTCACCACGCAGGTACGCACCCAGGACCCACCCTGAGCCCCACGTCCTGCAGGGCCCTTGAGGCGGGGCCTGACCCCGTCTTCTCCCCTTGGGCGTTGCAGACCGAGGAGCTGAACAAGCAGGTGGTGTCCAGCTCGGAGCAGCTGCAGTCCTACCAGGCCGAGATCATCGAGCTGCGCCGCACGGTCAACGCCCTGGAGATCGAGCTGCAGGCCCAGCACAACCTGGTGGGTACCGCTCGCACCTGCTGGGGGCACCGCGAAGCCAGGGAGGCAGAGCTGCTGGGGTACCCCTGGGGCCACGCGGCCTCCTTGGCTGTGGAGGGAGAAGCCCTCGGAGAAACCCTGGAGAGCAGCAGCCATGTGACTGTTGCCTTTGTGTTCTGCCCCCACAGAGGAACTCCCTGGAAAACACGCTGACGGAGAGCGAGGCGCGCTACAGCTCCCAGCTGTCCCAGGTGCAGTGCATGATCAGCAACGTGGAGTCGCAGCTGGGTGAGATCCGGGCGGACCTGGAGCGGCAGAACCAGGAGTACCAGGTGCTGCTGGACGTGCGGGCCCGGCTGGAGTGTGAGATCAACACGTACCGGAGCCTGCTGGAGAGCGAGGACTGCAAGTGAGTACCTGGGACGCAGCAGCCCAGGAAGGCAGGTGCACAGTTGCACTACAGGACTCTGTGGATCAGGTTCCTGAAATGTCCGTCTCCATCAGAGTTTTGCGTTGTGGCCATGGGAAGTGTAACTTACTTGTTACTAACATTCCCTGGGCTACTATTTTTTTTTGTTGTTGTTGTTCTGGAAGACAGTCATGAGCCTTGGCTCTCCTCCCCAGTGGCGGTCCTTCGGGTGCAGGTGGCTTGTCATAGCAAAGGGGAAAGCTGTGAGGGCCGTCTGAGGCAGGCAGAGTTGGAGTCATGATAGCATCTTAGACGTCTGAGCATTTGATTGTCAAAAGGGAAGATGACTCAGTGGCTCAGAGGGTGCAGCACTTGGCACCAACACAGTAATTCATAAACTCTGTCTGGTGGAATTTTTATACCTGTGTGGTAGGCAGTACCAGCGCTCTTTTATGGGGAGGGAGCCTGGGGCTTGGAGGGATGAAAGGACTTCTCCTCGTCCCCGGGTTTGAGAAGGGAGGCTGGACTTCCTTGCCTGGCCTTCCCAGCTCTCCTGCCACTGTCTCAGAGCTTCGCAGGAGTGATCTGGACCAGGCTTGCCTTCCAAGCCATCAAACCCTTTCTGCCTTCTTAATGACCCTTCTCACGCTGACAGTCTCACGATTCCGTGTCCCAGGTTGCCCTGCAATCCCTGTGCCACCACCAACGTGTGTGAGAAGCCCATCGGCCCCTGCGTGGCCAATCCTTGTGTGTCACGCTCCCGCTGTGGACCCTGCAGCACCTTTGGGTGCTAGATGACCCAGAGCCAGCAGGAGGATATGTGAAGACAGCATGGCCGTCAGCAGACCAGCTCAGCCCCGCGACCCCTCTCAGCCTCAGGACCCCGCCCCAGGCATCACCAGGAATTGTGGCCTGGAAGGAGAACAAGCCCGGCCACCACATGCGTCGCCCCCGTGCCGTCTCGCGCCGTCCATCTGCATTCTCGCGGCCCAAGAGTCTTGAGCTGCGGAAGTGTCGCGGGCGGTGTTTTGCGGTTGCCTCTGCTGCTTCCACCTCCCTGGCAGATCCCCAGGTCTAATAAAGTCCTCTTGCCCAGCAGACGGGATTCTCATTGGCATTCATTCTTTCCCAAGTGTTCACTCGGTGTGTGCTGCTTATAAAGCCACTTGAAAGCAGGAGAGGACTTTATGGCTCGGCCCTGTCCTCAGAGGTCTTCGTGATTCATTAACATTCATTGCACACAATGAGCCAGCAGCCACTCAGGCCTGTGCCAAACCAGCCAGGCACTGGGGCGGGAGCTGCATCTGAATATGACGAACACACTCACTACGGGACCTTAGTATCATCTAACTGTTACCACATCCAGAAATGTCCACATTTTCTTTCTCAAATTCCTGCAAGGAGAGGACAGGAGCTAACATTTATGGAACACCTGCCGAATACTGGGAACTGTGCGGCCAGTTTTTCCTCCTCCTCCAGGGGGGTGAGCCTGGGCTTTGCTCTGCCTGTTGGTTACACACAAGGTGTGGCCACGAGAGAATAAAACTGGCTTCAAACAGATGCCCAGAGCCTGTATGCGCTCCTGGGGAGACTCGGAGCTGTTAGCAGAAACTTTTGTTTTTAGGAAATACTGAGTAATTCATAATAGTAAACAGGGTCATTTGTGACATTTTACTAATACTTATCAGTTTTTTAAAGATGTGGTTTCACCACAAAAAAAGGAAACCTGTTGAAGTGAAAGGGACACTATGAGAAACATTGACTTGATCACCCCTTGTCCTGACTGTTGATGTACAATTTAATACTTTATCCTTTTAGTATTTTTTGTTCTAGTTAATACTATTGGTTGAACTCTGTAATCAACACATATTTATTCTTAGGTGTTGAAATTTAACTGAAAAGTGATCCCTGTTAAATATAAAAGTGGGAATAAGAGAGGGAGGAGATGTACAATTTGGGACATGCTCAATTGGACTTGCCCCAAATGGTGGAGTTAGAAATGTGCCAGGGGATTCCAATATAATCTCATCAAGATTGCATGTACCAATGCCATCTCACTAGTCCAAGGGATCAATTTCAATTCACAATTGATCACACTGATAGGTCTAAGAGTCAAAGGGATCACACAAACAAGACTAGTGTCTGCTAATACTAACTGATAGAATCAAAAAGGGAGAGAACAATCCAACATGGGAATTGGGATACACAGCAGACTCGTAGAATGGCAGATGTCCTAAACAGCACTCTGGCCTCAGAATCAGCCCTTAAGGCATTCGGATCTGGCTGAAGAGCCCATGAGAGTATTTTAGGCATGGAAAGCCAAGATATTCTGGAAAAAAAAAAAAAAACTAAATGAAAGATCTCTGCGAATGAGATCCCAGTAGAAAGAACGGGCCATCAAAGAAGGAGGTACCTTTCTCTGAAGGCAGGAGAGAACTTCCACTTTGACTATGACCTTGTCTAAATAAGATTGAAGTCAGTGAACTCAAGAGGATTCCATAGCCTTGGCAACTCATGACTAGACCCTAGGGAGATTTCTGACGCCATAAACAAGAGTGTCAAATTGTTAAGTCAACAACAGGAGTCACTGTGTACTTACTCCTTATATGGGATCTCTGTCCTTAATGTGTTGTCCAATGTGAATTAATGCTATAACTAGTACTGAAACAGTATTTTACACTTTATGTTCTGTGTGGGTGCAAACTGATGAAATCTTTACTTAATATATACTAAATTGGTCTTCTGTATATAAAGATAATTGAAAATGAATCTTGATGTGAATGGAATGGGAGAGGGAGCAGGAGATGGGAGGGGTGCAGGTGGGAGGGAAGTTATGGGGGGGAAAAGCCATTGTAATCCATAAACTGTACTTTGGAAATTTATATTTACTACATAAAAGTTAAAAAAATAAAAAAGTGGTTTCAAAATTTATTTATATGAGAAAAATAGAGAGAGAGCGATAGAGAGAGAGAGAAAGCATGAGCTTCCATCCACTGGTTAATTCCCCAAATGCACATAACTGCTAGGGCTGGGTCAGTCTGCAGCCAGGAGCTGAGAATTCAGTTTGGGTCTCCCATGGGTGTGGCAGGGCTCTGAGTACTTGAGGCATCACTGCTGCCTCCCAGGTGTGCATCGGCAGGACTCGAACCCTGGCTCTGATATGGAATGCAGTGTCCCAAGTGGAGTCTTCCCCGCTAGACAGAACACTGCCCACCCCACACCCTCTCCACCCCCCACAACAGATTTGTAAAATGTTCCTCTTCTTGTGCAAATGTTTTGACCACTGGAACTGAATTTGCACTTTGAGACTCTGTTGTTTAGAACCAGACTAGGATCTCAGGTCTCTGGTTCCTGTGAGGGCCTCAGGCGGCAGCTATGCCGGGTCCCTGTGCCTCTCCTCCTGGTGCCCGCTCATGTTTAGCCAAGGTGTTGTGTGTGATGTGTGCGCCCCTCACCGTGTGTGATGGGGCTTGTGCCAAGGCTACTGCTCCTGCGCCCAGGCTGTCCTCGGCGTGACCATCCTGCGATTCTCCGTGAGATGGAGCTGACGCCATCCCCCCTGCAGGGACGATGCTGGCTTTACTACTAGTCTTAAACCTCTCGTGTGCTGGATCTGGGATTGGCCACCTGGTGTGGCAAGGGGATGCTGCCCCCTCCTTTGTTGGTGGTGTTGGAGGTCGGGCAGCAAACCTGGGCTGGTGGCCCGAGTGACGCTCGACACTGTGCCCAGAACACCCCAGGGCCAGTTTCAGGGCGGCCTTGTCCCCAGGAGCCACCCCCAGGTGCGTGCAAGCCACTCTCTGCCACCTTCCCATCAGTCATCTGTGAGATGGGACCACTGGCCTGGGTTAGAGGCTGCACAGTCGTCTCCGTCTGGACGGCTGCCTCCCCAGCCCCTGTCCGCTGCCCGGCGATGGGAGCTCAGCTCTCTCTCCTCAGTAAGTATACTGGGTTCTCACTGCTTGCAGTGTAAATTATTAAAATAAGCCTGGTCTCCGTTTCTGGGAGGCCATGTCAGAGGGAAAGTGCCACCGGGGAGGTTGTCCTGAGCGCCTGTCTCGCCACGGTGCCTGCTTTGGTGGAAAGGAGACAGGAGGATCGGAGAAATTCCTGTTTCCTAGGGCAAAGCCCGGTGGGTGACTGCTGAGCTCACACACTCGGCAAGGTAGGGTGCAGTGCACAGGGACGTGTGTGGGATCTGGGATTGGCCACCTGGCGTGGCAAGGGATGCTGCACTCCTGATGTCAAATGGCTAATGATGAAAAATTCCAGAGTGAAGACAAAACAGCCTGAACATTTCCAGCCAAGATTTCAGTGATATTAACGGTTTGCCACTTGTCTTCACCTCATCTCCCTCTTTTTTCCTTATGAAGTGAAAAGTTTTTTTACTTAAATGTTTATTTATTTAATCTGAAAGGCAGAGTTACAGAGAGAAAGAGAGACAGAGAGAGAGAGAGAGGGAGAGAGAGAGAAGGAGAGAGAGAGAGGGAGAGAGAGAGAAGGGGAGAGAGAGAAGGGGAGAGAGAGAGAGAGAGAATTTTCCATCGGTTGGGTCCTTCCCCAGATAACTGCAATGGCCAGCACTGGGCCAGATTGAAGCCAGGAGCCTCTTCCGGGTCTCCCATATGGGTGCATGGGCCGTCCTCTGCTGCTTTTCCCAGGAGCATTAGGGGGAGCTAGATCGGAAGTGGAACAGCTGAGACTCGAACCGACGCCCATATGGGAAGCGGGCATTGTAGCGGCTTTCCTGCTACACCACAGCATCAGCCCCGAAATGCAGTCTTCTCAACTGAGATACAACCCCACCTTTATCCACCTGTCTCTCTCATGGTCTCCGGGAGATGGCTACAGTCCTAAACTTGGGAGGAGGCTTAAAACATTTCTAAAACTGCACATGGATGTATCCGTGTGCAATGCTTTTGTGTGCGTCACTCTGACGCGTGTGTGATGACGCAGCCGTTTAGTGGGAACAGGTTGTTAGCATAAATCTCACTGTGGAGCTCCCCCATTCCATGCTGTCCGAGCTTCACCTGCTCAGAACCTGGTGCTGCTGTTAGTTCGCTCTGTGTAATGTTCCAGAGTGGAAACCAAGCTTGCGTTTTCTCTCTCTCCACTGCAGGAGAGTGAGGTTGGTGATTTTTTATCGTCAGAGACAGCGGTCCAGGGCCATCCCCGGCTAGCGCGTCCTCGGTGTGTGGCCCTGGCATGCTGTCAGGGGTGCTGGCTGCACATCCCCACAGTAGGCCTGCAAGCCCAGCGCCCCGTCAGTGGCTCCCTGGGTAACCCTGACCTCCTGGAGGCCTGAGGAGCCGTCACCGGCTTCAGATGGCAGCTTTCTCGTTGCTCAAGGAATCGAAGTCTCAAGAATGTCTCAGCCCTCGTCCCCACTGTTGAGGAACAGGGTTTTTTTGTGTTGTTTTCCGTGCAAAAAAGTTGTTGAACTCTTTACTTAGTATAGCGTTGGTCTTCTGTGTATAAAGTTAATTGAAAATGGATCTTAGTGGAGAATGGGACTGGGGATGGGAGAGGGAGGAGGAGGAGGGGTGGGAGGGCGGGTATGTGGGAAGAACCACTGTATTCCTAAAGTTGTGCTTATGAAATGCACATGTCAAATGGCTAATGATGAAAAACTCCAGAGTGAAGACAAAACAGCCTGAACATTTCCAGCCAAGATTTCAGTGATATTAAATATCACTGAAGGTTTCTTTCAGGGAGAAAAAATAAGTGACCAGAACTCTTCAAGGTCAAGAAAGGCTGAGGCCAAGGAATTATTCCAGATTAAAGTTGGCATGAAATGAAATATAACCTGTGATTTTGACTTGGATCCTGGACTTGAAAAAAAGGACACACAACTGCTAGAATTTGCATGTATATAGATTAGTCTTTAAATATTGTAGCAAAATGAATTTGCTGGTTTTGATGACTATACTGTAGCTTATATTGTATGTTAATATGTGGGGAAGCTGTGTGAAAAGTCTATAGAAATTCTTTGTGCTAATTTTGTACCTCTTTTGTAAGTCTGAAATTATTTCAAAATAAAAAATCTTTAAAAATAAAAAACCAGATAAAAAGTGTTCTTATCAACCATTCAGGTTTCT